TTATTATTATTGGTTTGTACACATAAAGGAGAGTGAAGGGAATTCTCAGAAATGTACATAAATTTGTATAATCTAAGGACGTTACAGAAAATATAACGGAAACAATGAAATAAAATTAGAACTAAAACGTGAAATAATTTAATCGACAATATATTTGGGCAAAACACCATTAACGGTTTTCCACTGTTTACAACATACTGTCGTGTCATGCATTAACACACTGAAGCATATGCGCCATTAAATATGAAACGCTGCATGTTTGCGCTGTTTCTGAATGAAAGGCGCTTTCAAACATTCAATAATTATGGTAAATTAACAAAACACCCGAAATTAGCTGAGATGTGATTGTGACGTCATGACAAAAACAAAAAGAGTAGTCGGTTTCTGGCCTTTTTTTTCATTTTAACATATTTTACATAACATGAAAGTTAGCATTGCAAGCTATTCTTTAAGTCAATTTAATCGTACAAACGACTAACATACATTACTGACCAACTATGTGGGTCCGCACTTAAGATTTTAATACAATTTTCCGTCAGAAAAACATTACTTTCAAATGGCATAGGCTGAGAGGGTATTAGCTACCATAGAGATGCTGTTTACACCGATACAATGAAACGATTTGAGGTTTTAAAACGGAAATGAAACATCGATTCAGCTTGACTGAGACAGGTTGAGTCCTGGCCCTTTACTTTTGCGGGTTGAGAGTAATAACTCGTTCTCGGCTCTCAGTCTCTCCACCTCAATCTCCAGCTCCCGCACGCGCTGAGCGCCAGTGCCGTCAGCTGGGAACTCGGGATTTCTCCGAACGTGGCGAAGCCAGTTGTTCTCCTCCTCTAACCGCGACATGCACTTCTCCAGCTCCAGGTATTCCCTAACCAGTTCTTGTTTGGACATATTTTGGAGAGTCTCGACGTGGTACCTCTCATAGGTCTCAGAGAAGTCTCTCTGCAAAAACTCCCCGCCTGCGTGCCCGGGTCTGCCCATTCCGTCGCTCCCTTCGCCACCGCCGCCGCCGGCCCCTTCCTCTTCGTCTTCCTCTTCGGCCTCGAAATTCTCATCCTCACTGGCCGTGTCATCGGAGCGGATCATCCCGGTTTTTCGGCCGACCAGCTCCGTGTTGAGGTCAGGTTCTTCCCGGTCGTGTTCCTCCATCAGGAACTGGGTGGTGTTGTATGGGGCGACGGGGAGACCTTTGGCAAACATTTCGGCACGCACCCGCGACGCCCGCGCAGTCTCGCGTTCATCCAACTCTTTCTTTTCCTCCCAGGTTAATTTGAAGTAAGGCTTCCAGCGACGCTTTTTTTTGGAGGGTCGCCGTCTGTGTTTCTTCTTGCCCTGGCGGCCATCTGACAGACCCTCTGCGTTTAGACTCGTGCAATCAGAGTCTCTCTTATTACTTGTTTTGTTTACAGGAAACCCGTCGTCACTTGCTGCGTCGCCAGCCTTTGGCTCCGGGTCGCTCCTATCCCGGCCGCGGCAAATAGGATGTACATCTCCAGACACCAGACTGGGACAGATCTCCAGTTGATTTCTTTGCACTTGTTTCGAGGGGACGGCACTTGTCAAACCATCTCTCTGCCGCCCTCTGCTGTCATCCTCCAGTACAGTTTCTTCTCTAATAAGCTCCATAACTGTACACTCCCACCTGAAGGAGATACAAGTTTGTGATCAGTGAGATGAGGGAAACCCTCCTTTATTAAACTAAGAAATGGAATTGAAATCAACTCCTTAAACCCTGCCATTGAAAACAGCCCACCAAAACACTGGGGGAAAGGGGAATGTTTACTCAAAGAGTGAACGATTTTAACATGCATAATAAACAGCATTAACAAACTCGCATAAGTAAAATTTGAACTACCTTACCGTTCAACTCAAATCTCGTATTTGAGTTATTATGCTACCTAAGACTGTTAATGTTAACTCTTTTCGTTCCCTCTGCCTCTACTATTGACTTGGTTTCCCGACGGGTACGAGAACATTTCCCTCCAAAGCAAACTCCAATTCGCTTCTGCTACGGGGAACTGTGGGGCTTGTGAATTTATTACCTCCCTCACGTAAAGGCGCATGCGGCCAGTCCTCCAGTTTTTTCCTGCTTTGTGGGACTTGAAGTCCCGCTAGGCATTGACACATACATTATCTCTGCCCCAAAAACTCCATTACCCACAATTCAACAACTGTTTTCGGTCCTGAGCAGGTTACGCCCACTCACAATTTTCATTGGATAAAAAGTTTTTTGTGCGCTTGCTGAACCATAGAGGCATTCTGATTGGTGGAATTTGTTGTCAATCAAAAAGAAAGCTGTCCCGGTCACTCTCGTGGACTCTACCAAACGTGTCCGAAGCAGGTAGAAACATCCGCCTCATTCTAACACACATTAAACTTTCACCGATTTACAAAGATATAATACTACAAAGTGTGTTGATGCCAATTTGTATGTATAAAGCACACAATGATAGTGTATTCCATCGCGTTTGTTTATTTTGCATCTCTACCTTGACATTTAAACCCACACACTGCGCCCTTTTGAGGATTGATCACCCCTCACGCATAAAGTAGTTCTTTTAACAGCAGTGTACTCACAATTTAATGTGAAGAGTAACGACTGTGTCCATTGTAATGAAGAAGTTTCAATTTATCATGACTAAAGTTGTTTTTCCCTTGTTCAAGTGAAATGTCACAACACAAAATATAAAACGTCCTGGCGTTGTTAACGTTACGTGTATCGATCTCTAACGATGAAGCGATTGTTTAGCAATCTGTTCGCTAGCCAGCTAGCTGGGTAATGGAGTCTAGATTAACATGAACAAGTTATCACAAGCAAATTGGTAAAAAAAGGAAAGACTAAAACATGTCGACTTAACGTTAGTTCGAAACATGCATTTAATATATAAACTCTTAAATACGTGGAATTCCCTGCCTCTGCCAGAATGGATTTAGCTACAAGCTAGCTGGCAAAGCTTACTAGTATATTAAAGAGCTGATAAGATGTACGACCTCGCGCTATCTATGAAGTAGTTTTAGAAGACACCAATGCATATGCATTGTCAATTAACATATGGAAATGCATAGGTTTATGAAATGGAACCCCATTGTTGGCTCGCTCGCAAATTAATTCGTGCTAGGGAAGTTAGCATGAGGTTTGGCTTATGTTTATAAAAAATAAATAAATAAAAACATTTCGCTATAATTCTATACATTTTTTAAACGTTTCAGTCAAAACAGAGTAAAAGCACAACTACAAACACACCGGCACTGCTAAGAAAGGGCCGTCATATTTTACACAGAAAGCATTTGTTTTAAAAACGCAAACCATTGAACGAATGGAAGAATCCCGATATTTGCTTTAATTGCACGGAGACAATGGGGATTTGGGGCTGTACGAGAATTTGACCAAGATGACTACATCTAACATAAAACGATGTTAGTTCCTGAAGAACTTTGTTTAGTTTGAATCAACTCACCTAGATATTACTAAATGCATCTAGTAGCCTACACATTAAAAGTTGCAGCCTCACAAAAGATAACCCAGCAAATACAGGTTCTGTCGAAATTTAACGTTTAATTGAAATGAAAAAAAGGACTATCATTATATTATTCACAAACCATTTTTTGCATTTATTTGTATCCTCGCATTGTAAAACAAATATAAATATGGTTTATGATCAGAAGATATTTTATTGCTGGTACTTTTATCATCAGAGTGACAGCTTCTGAATCTGTGCATGTCATGCTCCCCACACAAAGGCCATGTCTGCATTCTGCAAGTATGATCAGCAGGTCTATACTCATTTGTGGTGCAGAAGGTATTTACATTTTCAACCATCAACAAAGACATACTAATTAACATGACTTATTTTCAAAATACCAGAGAACGGATACCATACATTATTGTCTTATAAGTCTCTGCACAAAGCCACATTTAACCAGCATTACATATTACACTTAATAAACATTTAATAACACAATCAGCTCCTGGACTCCAGAACTGCACTCATCTTGTTCATACAAGTTTAAATGATCACATTTCAGAGATATGAGGTTAGAACATTTCTTGCCTTCACCTGACGCTAACAAACAAGTGCTATAATTGAATCATTGAACACCATGTCACAATTATGATCATTCTTTATCTTGACTGTTACTTTCATTTCTACTCAGTACAGTAAATTTATATGCAAGCATGAATCTTTCTCTTCTTCCTTCTCAACAAAAACATTAAGCCCTGAGTCACAAAAGGCCAGACCAACAACAGCAGCAATGTGCGCCCAGAGAAGTCAAATGGCCACCATTTCTCCTGTCAGCAAAAAAGAAATTAAAATATTAAAGAATTTTCTTTTCTACATGTGTTTGATCAAAATACATAAGGTATGATTGAGAAGCAGTGACAAGCAGCAATTCCTTCTTGAAACTGATGCTTAACAAGTCTGTCAGAAGTTTTACCTCAGCCTCTGCAGCTGTGCATTGTAAATGGGATCTCCATTGAGAATTTTGAGCCTTAAAATAAATATACAGATGCAGATAAAATAAAAATAAAGATAGATTTCAAATCATGGAGTTAATTTTTATTTACTCATCCAAAAAACAAAAAAAACAAAAAACAAAAAAAACTAACTAAAAGATTAATGCAGAAAATATTTTTCAGAACAAATAAAAAAAAATGATCATGCCATTTAAAGTAGCACAACATATATGACAGCAGTTATGATTAATACTTCTGGTGATCAACATTTTTATATTTAAGCCATTTTTAAATTCTTCAAAAAATTATATTCAAATTCATATTAACTAAATTAAATCATGCAGCATCCTGTCTCTATTCCTTATAGAGCTCAATTTTGACAAATAGAATGCACATTTTTGTTTTTTATTTTATTCAGCTTTCTTACATTTGCAGTTGCAAGACCTTCAACTACCTCTAGTCGCTCCATGACACTCTGCATGGCCTCTCTGAGTTGCTGTAAGGCAAGAATAATCTGCTGCTGCACCTGGCCGTCCTGTAGCCAGTTAGGCCCACCTTTAGAATTGTCTCCGCCCCCTTGCCCTGAGCCAGCCCCTGAGGAGAGCCGCTCCGGCCATCTGGCATTGTGGTGAGACATATAACCTGGAACAAAAACATATGCATGAATACATACATAATGTTTTTTTGTTTTGTTTTTTTGTCTTCAACATGCTTTCAATATTGGAGACAACATCCAAACTTTCATCTGCAGTTGGAGTAAAGATAATTTGAGTGAATTCTGCTTCAGACCTGAAGACAATTTTATTTCTTGAGCACCAAATCAGCATGTTAAGCCTGGAACACACTAAGCCGACGGTCGGCCGTCGGGCAGTTTTTGTGCATCGACCGACTAAGTTTCCTCGATGTGTTCCGCACGGTTCCGTGCTGTCGGCTTAAAATAGTCCTCGTCGGCTTTGTTTCACCCGATTCGACATGTTGAATCGGCGTTGGGCCGTCGGGGAAAGAGAGAACTCTGATTGGCTTAGTGAAAGAGTCAGTGCACGAGAATAAAAGCAAAAAAGCAAGCAAAGAAGTCAAAACGGTAAAGATAGAAGGCTGTTCTTATGTTACGTCATCTTACCTGATTGTTCCTGAGAGTGGAATAAAGAAAGTGTTTAGCAGGATTGATATTCAAAACGGTAAGCACGCGCTGCTTTGTTTACGGTATGTGTATCTGCAGCCGGCAGCGTCGGTTTTCCTTTTTGAATGACGAATATATCTGCAGAAGTAGACAGTTGGCTCATTTACACGCAGGCGCAGAATGCACATTATAGTTGACAGTCGCCTGTAGTTCTCTCGGTGTGTTCAAGCGTAGCTTTTTACCCCGACGAGAGCAGACAACACAGTCGGCTTTCATCAGCACTAGTTCATCGGCGTTGGCTCGGTGTGTTCCGGGCTTTAGAATGATTTCTGAAGGATCATGTGACACTGAGTTAAGGCTTCTGAAAATACAACTTTGTAAACAAGAATCAATTACATTTATACATTTTCGATTGTAATAATATCACAGCATTACTATTTTTTCTGAATTTTAATCAAATAAATGGAGCCTTAATGCATTTTTTTTTCTTTAACAAATCTTACTGACCAAACTTTTGAACAGTAGTGTAAGTGTGGGGATCTGGTGTTTGGATATTTCAAACACGATTGTATAAATTTTTACTGAAATATTAGTGACCTGAGGAACCCAGAGACGACTGTGGTTGTGGTTTATAATGTGGAATTAATCAGATTAATCTCACCAGACGGAGCCCGCCTGTCCTGCTGCATTTCCTGTCTTTCTGTGGCCCTCCTCCTCATGGGAGGACCATGCCTATCTTCTGCCCCCTCACCACCATGTCCAGCACCCATCTGAGTCACCTGAGAGAGGGGGCTGTAATGATGCTCCTGGATTCCAGAGGTCTCAGTCTGTGCATCCCCATTCTGGAAACTGGAATTACCACCTGGCATTGCAGCAAGCTGTAATGGCATAAAAAGTGTACAAAATGTAGGACATATCATCACATACATTTTAATTCAATTTAATTAAATTTCAGACCTTTATAGTGTCCAGCTGTTCCAATGAGTCACAGAAGACTTCACTCTCTGAGTCACTAGTCAGCCCCTGACCCTCAGGCAGAAATGGCTCTACACATACAGCAATGAAAGAGAAGAAATACAGCACACACACACAATCTTAGCATCATTTATTACATATGCAACTGTCAATGTTTGAAAAGCAACTGTGGTCAGACATGTCTGGATAATGATCAAGACTGGTGCATTTCAGCCATAGTTGGCTTGGCTCCAATATCATATTGGAGTAAAAAAGTAAAAGGTAAAATTGCAATTATTTGTTTGTACAAGCCTAAAATGCATTCTATTGTAAAAAAGATTGTTTTTTTAGTGGACTCCAAAATTTTTTGGATAGACATCCAACATTTATAGATAACCATTCCACTACCTGTGCTCTCAGGTTGAAGTTCATTGCCAAGGACTGTCTCTGTGTCCTCCTGTTGAAGAGCCGGGTCTTGAGTTGGCTTCTCCACATCATGTTCAGCCAAACCATCAATTGTTTCTTTGGTATTTACATATTTTGAAATGAACACCAAAATCATAGATTTAAAGAACTACATAAAGTACTAATAAAGTATTTTACAAAAAAAAATAATAATAATAATTCACACCTGATTTGAGAGATAAAACTGCCTCTGGAGGTCTAGGCATATCATGAATGACATGGTAGAGAGGTTCAAAAAAGTGGAAAAAGGATGCAGTCTTCTCATTGATTTGCACTGTGTTTATTACCTGTGATATATAAATAATTTATACGCAATATATAATTGTTTGCTTGGCCGCTCTGAACACAAATTTGCTTGTTTTCTACAGCGACATGATTTAGAAAATATTTTCCAATACTTGCTTTTACCTAAAGTTACTTTATGGATTTATGAGGTTTCAATGAAGCTCTCACACCTCTTGTGCAACTTTCTTCATTTCATCCACATAAGCAGCCATGGCACTCTCTCGACTCATGTCTCCCAGCTGATTCCAAGCATCCCTGACACAAGACCCGGAAAACATTACGTTAAAGTTTTTAAACAGTCCTTTAAATGGCTGGCTGTTAAAGTACATGGGATGAGACATTATGGAACTTGATGTTCAAAATTGTTTAAAACTTTACCATTTATAACGGCCTATAGGGTCCCAGAATCCAGGGCGTGGCGCTGTACATGGGCCATTGACCGCCTGTTTGTACAGGCCATAAAACCGCAGCATCACATCATAAGAGGGTTTGTAGGAACCTGTACAAATTTAAATTTAAAAACACCACAGGCGTGTTAAAAATGTTAAAAATTATGTGAACCAGTGTGATGTGGTGGACTCATATTTATAACTTACAGAAAGCAGTGCATGCACGTTTTACATCTTCTACAATATGATACTATCATGTTGAATGACATCATTACTGTTATGTACATTCATGTAATTTTTGTCAATGGTGAGCAAAGCTACCATTTTTGGGCAGGGTTTGAATGACGTCGACAGCCGCCTGAAAGCGCCTTTGACAATCCTCGGTCTCTGACATTGCAAGAGGTGGCATATCATGCGGTCTCTATCTTTCCCACACTTCTGCTGCCGCATGTGCATTAACTGGACAACCTGTAAATTATATTGGTGACAAATGTGTCATTTTGCCATTCTAAACCATGATCAGATAACTTATCAAGTTTCTGAAGAAATTGTGCTCTCGGATTATTTGGACGACACTTTAGTAAGGTTATGAAATTAAAAGCCCCTATTTAACTAATATAATCATTTGTAGTAGTCAAGATTACTTAGATTTTCTGCCCTTTTTGATTGCAGGTTAATTAGCCAGGAGGTCAAGTAGAGTTAGCTAGGTTCAACTCACCTGCCCTATGCTCCTGCTGCCATAACACCCGAACACTATAACTGTAATAAAACAATATTAACCACCGGTCACGTTGGAAACAGAGTTTATAAAAGCGGTACACGCTTTCCTTGCACGATCAGTTTGAGGATTGTTTTCTAATAAATGGACCGTTCAACTTTTGGAATTTCGACCAAGAGTTCACTTCCTGGTTCTGTCACGTGTCTCTGTCCCAAAAACGAGAGCCAATGTCATATGGCCAATGTCAGCAAGAGATGTCCGCGGATTTTTTTTTTCTTTTTCTTTTTTCCTACGCCCCATGAGGCCTTGCGTCAAAAGTGGGCGCGACTTCCGGTTGGAAGTAAACAAAGCGCGATTTGACATGCTTAACACTCGTTCATTCAACAGTTGAGTTGACAGTCATTCAAGTTATAGCGATCCAAACTAGCTAACGATGTGGGAACATAATCTCAACGAAATTCAAAAGGGTGAAATAACAGTACCTTTACCCCCGGCAGTATTGGGAGTATTATAATAACATTATTAATAATCAATACTCATTAAGGCATGGTGAAATTAAAATAAAAAATACACACTTAGTCGTGGTTTGGAGTTTATTCAAAATTATAAATGAATGTGCCACTTGAATACATTACCTGGCACATTTGGTATTCTGTCAACACAGCTGGCTTTGATCCTGGGTTTAGCTGTAACATCAGTAGCGAGCCAATCACATGCTGAGAGTTATAGAATATTAAGAATTTAAACAAATGTACACAGGAAGATTCGTCGTCTTTTGAGAGGTGATGGAAACTACAGTCGTTGGCAGGATCAGAGACGGGCTCTGGCATGATCACTCTGATTTCGTTTTCAGCTTATGTTCAATCACGTTTAAGCCACTGAACTAGTTTAGTCCGGTACATACAACCGCGAACAGCACATGTTGTCCCTGAGCGCCGTAACACCATCTCTCATAAAGATTTGCGTCTTTAAATAGTAAAATAATTCTCCGAAAAACAGCTAGCCTCTTCGCTAACTACCACACAAAATACCATTGGAATGCTACTTCCGCCGCCTCACCTGAAGTTTCACCCACTTTATTTTTTACAGGAGCGCCCCTTGGAAACTTGTGGATTGCTAAAAAAAAAACAAACAAAAAAACATACAAAATACCAACAAACATCAAGATACAGATCTTAGATGATTACAAAACAGTCCAAATAGCAGCACAAAAAAATACATGAACACCATAAATCAATCAAAAAAAATAAATTAGAAAACAAAAACATGTAAAGAACACATAAACAAGTAAAAAAATAAAATATTACACAAGGGGGGAATCATCAAACAAAACCTTCAGAAGATTAAATAATTTAAGGGCTTTTTTGTTATGCACCAGTCTTAAAGCTTTGAAGAAGATCATTAAATCTTTATGGAAGAGACGAAAGTGGGAGGGTTCTTAAAGAATCTGCATTTGTGTATGAAGTAATTGGCCAACAGCACAATATTGTTCACCAAAAATTCAAGATCGTAACTCAAAGACAAAGACAAATACTTTATAGTTTTAAAATTAAAGTCAGGTATTTCATATTTCAATCTTAACCAATTATAAAGGTCATCCCAGAATTTCTTTGAGAATTTGCATAAAAAAAAAAAAATGTTCCAACGACTCTATATCCGCTTCACAAAAGGTGCACTCATTACAATCCATATTAAATCTGTGTCTTGTCTTAGGAAAGCATTACAAGGATAAATATCATTAATAATTTTAAACTGAACCTCTTTTACCTTTGGAAAAAGAGGAAATGTAAGAAATCTTGTTCTAATTTGACCCACTTTGTCTTTTGGGAAATCATACAAGAGGTCTTTTTTTTAACTTCACAAGGGAAAGTCTCTATCAATGTTCTTAACACTTTAATCTTACAGCCTTCCTCTGTAAAATCAAGACCAGAGATGATTAAACTTTTCATTCTCGGAATCACAGGTGAATAACACAATGCACCTTTGACCAACTGAACCAAACACCAGGAACAGCTTTTAATAAAGATACATATAATTTCTGAGTGCAAATAATATTATATCTTTCAAAAAAAATCTCATAACTAAGGAAATTCCCTTCCCCATCATAACGTGTACAATGGACCAGACACCTTTATCCATCCAGTCCTGAAAAAAAAAAACACTGATTTCCTATTAATAAGGATAAACTTATTATTCCACAAATAACAACTATGTGGGGGAAAATTGTGTTTGTATATCAGTTTCCAATATAATAATACCTGACTATGAAAAGAGGACAATTTACACTTTAGTTTTAATGGCTCAAAATCACACCTCAAAAGAAAATCAATGCCCCCCAAAAATCAAAGATTTTTGAAGAAAAACTAGACCAAACAGATTGTTTATTCCTAAAGAAAGCTTGGAGCCATCTCAATTTAAGAGTGCCATTCATTACATCAAAATCAATAAAATTCAAACCTTCCTTACTGAATGGCTTATCTGATTTTCTTATGTAATGGTGTTTGTTTTTCCAAAGAAATTTATACTGAATTTGATTAATATCCTTTATCCACCTGTCGGAGATTGCCAAAGAATATGCAGGATAAATCAGCCTAGAAAGTACCTCAGTTTTCTGTAATAAGATTCTACCTTAAATGGAAATATCTTTTTGTAACCACACATTTAACATATTTTGACATTTTGATTGTCATCCAAATTAGTTTTTTCTCTTGTTTTAGCGTCTTTAGTAATAACAATACCTAAATATTTAACCTAATTTTTTAATGAAATATTATGTCCGCGGATTTACAGGAGCCTTGCTAAATTAAAAAAAAAAAAAAAAAAAAAAAAAAAAAAGAGAGAGAGAGAGAGAGAGAGAGAGAGAGAGAGAGAGCATGTATTTGACAAACATCCGATTACAAAATAATGTGTGAAATCATGATATTTATTGAATGTGTTTGACAATTAATTACATGCTAATTTAAACTAAATGTAAGAATGTTTATAGCAAACAGAAAAAAAAAATGTATTGTGAGAAAATGATTTTTAAGTGTTCACATTTTAGCATGCGCAACGTATTTATATCAAATTGTTTGGATTGAAATAAAAAGATCTAATGTAGGCCTACACACCAACCATCACTTGGTGGTAAAAGAAGAAGAAGAAGAAGAAAAAAAACTCTACAAACGTTAAACTTAAACTTGATTCGTACTTTAGGCTTAAAATAGCAATTCGGCTTTGATTGATTCAGTTGGTTGTTTTTAAATGTGACATCGCTAGAGGGAGACATTTTATTAATCCGTACCTCAGCCGTCTTCTCCAAGCGGTCTATGGTAAGAATTCAATATGTAGGCTAGTCCAGCCATCATAAACCCGTTTGCTGTATATTTTCGGTGGGTTTGGTTTTTGCGTTTTAGTTTGAAGATACAGTCGCTGTATTTTTCCATGGTTGTGTC